GTTCACTGTTATGCACGTTTTAGAGGCCCGGGGTCGTCATCAGACAACAATAAAGTTCAGCAGTGTTCTACTGTTAACAAAAATAACCGTGTGATGTGAAGCTAAGGACCACGTACACGAGGTCATAGAAGTCGAAATATTCGTTAATTTTTTAACTAAATACCCTTGTTAGGATAAAAATGATCGACGAATTTTCAATGTGCGTGACTGTATATAAGGTTAACTTGATTAGAGTACCAAATGGATATGTGTTCACCCGTAGTTTTAAGCTATATATGCTTATCCAGGTAAATTTGTAAGATGATTTTTACATAATATTTAGGATAAAAAAGTTCGGAACAATTTTTAAATGCTAATATTCAACGTGCGTGTCCGCGTATAAGGTGAACTTGGTTAGAGTAAGAATTGGAGGTGTGTAGCTGTAAGCTATATATGTTTAAGGATAGTGTTACCAGACGACTTTCGCATAATATCTGAATGCGTTATGGTGATAGATTAAGACGCAATTGGTGTTTGAAGGTTAACATAGGAAGTAATGGGCCTTTTAGAGGGGTCTCAGGTATTCGCAGATTTCAGCCATTTGCAGGCAGCTATGGTACTTAAGCCCCCCCGCAACCTAATTTCTTTTTTTTCCTCTACCTATCTAAACTGAACTTCCTTGTATATTCTTCTCTTGACTTTGACCTTGTAATGGAAGGTCACCCCTACAGGTGTTTCCTATGCGCGGAAGTGACTCACGCTAGCAAACACGTTTTTGTTGCCTGGAGTCCGGCAGTAAATTTGACCGACGACTTTGCCTTTGAGTACGGGTAACCATCGTTAAGATTTACATCTCGCTTACTCTTAATCAGTCGTTAATACTAGTCTATAAAACCCCGCTACGAATCTCATTATTTTGATTTGACGCACGCTTTACTCTGGGATACGGAACTGTCAACTATAGAGTGACAGATCCCTAAAGTACCAGTTCATTCACTACTTGTTTAACAGGCTTTAAAAACCCACGTCTGCGGATCGGGCACTTGCAGGTTCTCTCAGTTGGCTGAATTACAGACTATCGGGGCCCAAACATGTTGTGGAATTACAGTAAGGCAGTTTGGCGTGCGATGTAAAAAAGAGAGGTAGACATCGCGATTATGCGAAATATCTATCGAAGACGAGGAGGCGTGCACATAGAAGAAATTAATGAGGTGGTGTAATTTTACAAAAGAAATACCTGGGTAAGAGATCTCCAGTCCATGTTGGCACTGCCGAGGTAGGCATGAATACCATCGACGGACCAGAGTTTCGCGTGCTGAACTCCTGAACCCAGCAGTCGTTGCACATCCAACCACTCGACTTTGGCACCTGTTAAGTAACGTAAGGATGATAACATTAAACATAAGTTAACACAATAAACCCTAGTAAATGAAACGCAAACAAACACCCTGAAATTTGCTCTCGATTAGAAAGGATTTCTTGGGTGATAGACGGTAATATGAAATACCGTTTTAAGCATGACAATGAGCAAACTTTGGGGTAATCTGGTGCAATCAAGCCAGTAAATGAAGTTTCACTTTTGTCAGCGTATAAACGGGATATTTTATCCACATTTCTGACGTTTCGTGGAGGATAGTAGGCATGTCGCAGAAAGCTAAGGCATCATTAAGCCCCCAGGAAGGTTGGAAAATAATGGAAGCAACTCAAAGAGATCAATTGATAGAAAGTTAAGGCTGAAAGTATTCACCGGGACGTAGAAGCGTAGACCAAAAAAATGACCAACCTGCAGCCATTAGCATGTCGAGGTCCGTATTAGGGCTCTGCTTTCCATTCTGAATGATTGAAACGTTGACTTGGGAGCTCTTTTCAACCAGTCGACGTAATATGTCCTCACCCTAGAATTAGGAGGGATTTTAAACATGATACACACACAGAGGGAACAAATAATAAAAGAGAACAGTGAGGTTAACATAATTTAACCAGGCCAGACCTCAAAGGCGGTAGCTGCCGAGGTGTTGGCCACGTCATCTGCCAGCAAAGACCAGTAAAAGGAAGCGATTGTGATATTACTGCGGGCCAAATTGATCATGAGATTCCAGACAAAGTAGGTGGAGGCATGGCTGGGAGAACCGCGATTATAGGTTAGATTTTCGGGGATACTCTCCACCAGAGAGGCTGAACATCGAAAGTAGTCCGGTTCGCCATCAGCCGCCGTCGCCGACGCCACAGCAGGGCGTTTAAAGCTGTGAGTTGGTACCGCAAGGCCCAAGGGTACGAGGCAGGCAAGCAGAACCAGGAACAACTGGGGAAGGATCATTGAAATCCGCCTTTCAAGACTGCAAAATCAAAATACAACAGCATAGACAGGAGAAACGTCATAAGAACGTACTGAAATTGAAAGGTGGGGCATACTATGCAGCCCCCAATGTCCGCGAACGAGCTACCGGAGAAGTGGTGGATGTGAATTCGACAGCCTGTCCAGGCGGTTAACGCACCCTACTGACGTTTGCAAAAAGTAAGAGTTCCCGGATAGCTATCTGAGATCATGTTAATTTACACCAGAACGAGTTTTTGACTTTGCTGACCTTTCGGAGAGCAGAGCCGGTTCTCCTCTGTCAAAGCGTAAACTGCCATTATCGATCGGCAATTGTAGGTTGTGGGCTGATTGATTATTTTATCATTCGCTGCCTTGCCCCTCATATGGATGTTGGCATAGATTGACAACAGTTGGAGTTAGGCTTCATCTCCACGGTGGAGGATGCTGGTAAACCAAACTTGAGAAATGCAAGCGAAGACGGACACCGGAAGAGGAAGCAGGAGTGCCAGCATCCTCAACCGTGGAGACGAAACGCAACACCAACTGCCGTCAACATATGCCAACGTTCACACGAGGGGCAGAGCAGCGAACGAGAAAAAATATATCAGCCCAAGACCTACAAGTACAGCCACATTCAAACTGCTGATCGATAATGGAAATTAACGCTCTGACAAAGGAGAGCCGGCTCAGCTGCACGAAAAGTCAGCGAAGGCAAAACCGCGTTCTGGTGAACAGTAAAATTTTCTCAGCGTCCTAGTCAATCCGCGACAGCGAACCAAGACAAGGTGCAAATTCTAAGAGCTGTCAGTTTTAGGGCAAGAGCCCGGCGCATCACTAAGCCGAACTCGAAGAGTTAAAAATTCCTTCAGGACAATACTAGGATATGCTAGGGATCGTTGAAGCAAACATCAACGGCAGAGCCAAAGCAGTCCAACAAAAATTTTTTCAGCAACTGACGTATTCCCATCAGGTTGTTTAATTCCTCGTCCAAAAAAGTCGGTGCGACACATCGTAACGCATGCTCTTCTAACATTTCGCGTCTGAAATATCCCATCTGCTAGGGGCACACCAAACCAAAAGGAGGGATATACCAACGACGAAATTCGAGAAAAGAGAGCATATCAGGACAGACGCAACATGGGGAATTTTGTAGGCGGCTATAGCGCTAAATAACTCTT